TGGTGATGAGAACAGCTTCCGTTTCGGGCCCTTGTCCTCATCCCTGTCCTTAGACCGAGGCTTCCTCGCGAACTTAGGCGAATCTGGGCCTCCGGGCTGATGAATAGCCCTGCCATCCGGGGTGCTCTCCGGGTTATCGGACTGTTCTGTCGGACGTCGGATGACGAGCACCTGTTCCGTTCGTTTTGGCCGAGCCGAACCACCTATTGGGGGTACCGGCAATGTTGTTGGCCTCGGTGCCTTGCTTGTGCTCGGTGGGTCCGGGGTTAAGTCCCGCGTCCGAGCGTAAGCTTCCCGTTCCGCTGTGGAGGGCTCGAGGGTCTCTTCTTCACCTTCTAAGGGTGGGACATCCATAGGCTCACCGGGCGGCGTAGCTGGTCGTGCGGGTGGCTTAGCCTGTTGGGCTTTACGCTCCGCGGCTTCACGTCGCTTGTTACGGTAGTAACCCTCGGTGATCCGCTTAATATCTTGCAGCGCCTGTATCAGGGTCTCCTCGGTGTCCGAAGATCTCGCTGCCGATAGGGTTAATATGGTGGCAATGGTCTTCCGGCTCGTATCCAAGGTGTTGGTATCGACGTCGAGCCTTGCCGCTCTAGGGTCCCAGGCGTTCATGGCATGAAGTTGAGCATGCATTTCATGGCTGGCATCCTCGGCTCGCTGAAGTGCTCGCCGAATCGTTTCCTCCATTCCGGGTACTGCCAGTGGCCAATTTCCTGACGGTGGAGTAGCCGTCGAGGGTGGCTTGATGGTCGGTCTCCGGGTTGATTGGTCAGATGTACCCTGCTCTGGGGGTTCAATCTGCCTGATCCGAGACTGATCCTTGGAGGCTCGGTCCGCCTCTCGCCGTTCTTTGGCCTGCTTTTCTTCTTCATAATCCCGGATGAAACCCGAGAGCCAAAGCACGCATGATTGCAGCTGAGCCTGGCTGTACTGATGTTTCGGGGTTTCCGGGTGTAGAAGTATCCGAGTTGCCCGGGTGTGGTTCTCAACTCCGGTGATGTCACCATCCAGTTTGAAGAACTCTGCGCTATGACGGTCGCAGAAGCCTCGGCGAGTCCGCATCTCCGTCAAGATGTTGTTAGCCCGAGTCATGGCTTCAACTATGTAGGGTTGAGCGTCGGGCGGCAGGACTCCCGGGTCCGATATGTTTTCCATCGCCCGTACCATTGAGCGGGGCGAAAGGCGCTGGGTCGGTGCAACCTGTTGGGTCGCTACCGGCCGTTCCGGTTGTTGCGGTAGGTTCGCGGGGGCTTGAGTCGGCGGAGTAGCCGGGGGCTGAGTTGCCCGGGTAGCCGAAGGTTGGGTCGGCTGAGTGGCCGGAGGCTGAGGTGGAACCGTTTTGCGGCTCTCTTCCTCATGCCTTTTTCTCGCAAGTGCCACTTCTAAATCGGCTCTTAGGCTCTCCAGGTCCATTGTGGCTACCCGGTGTTGATCTTGGATCCGCTCCTTCAGCTTCCTCTGAGCCGGGGTCCGATCCTCCAGTTGGTTAGCCTGAGCGGCTAAGTCCCGGACATAGCCTTCGTTAAGGGCTATGTCGTCACGGAGAGTTTGGATCTCTTGTTCCGTCGGGGCTGGTTGGAGTTGAGGTGGCTCAGTTGGGTTGCCCCTCGAAGGTCCGGGGGTCCGAGGTTGAGGAGGCCCCGATGGTTGAGCCTGTTGAGGTCCGGGGGTCCGAGGTTGAGCCTCCTTGTGGCTTCTTTCCTCTAACTTCCTCCGGAGTTTCTCGGCATGCCCACGAGCCATGTCGCGCTGTTCGGTGATGGTCTGTAGAGTCGCATCGCCCGGTTGCAGCGTAGCAATCCGCTGGGTCAGAAGGTCCGCCGTTAGCTCAGTTTCGGCTAAGTCCCTCCTCAATTCTTCGGTAGTTATGGTGATACCGAAGTCCATTTCCGGTGGGTCATCGAACATCTCGATGTCCGGTGAGGGTATCGGTGACGGAGGTTCTGACATTGGTGATGCGCTTCGGTGTGAGCCTGGGCCGGGGGTCACTGTTGGTTCCCCATCACGGCTACGGCTCCGACTCGGACTATATTCCGAGTATTCATCCGAGTCCAGGTCGCCCTCTTCGGCGATGCGTCTCCCGAGGTATCCGAGTGACGCATCCAATTCCCGAACGTCTGCTGGTGCTGTTGGCATTCCGGCCTCGGTGAGCCTAGCCACTTGACGGAGGTTTCTCTCCAAGTTGCACCGATCATTCAGCAGCTTGGATTGTTCACGGTCCTTGTCGAAGTGAGGCTTGTCCTCCGGCTTGTTTCTTTATTCTAAGGTGGATAGGAGCGTATGGCCCTTTTCTAGGGTCTTCCTAATCTCCTGCCACTTGCAAAGTCTGGCTTCGGCTTCGTCGGGCCGGTTTGATGAGTCGTCGGAGAGGACTATGCCGTAATTGTCGGCACGTCGTTCGATGGAGGACAGAAGTCTCGGGAGCTCACGGGTTTCCCAGGGTCCTGTTGGGATCCCTTCCCAGACTAGGCCTGCAATGTCTGCGGATTCTCGGTTAACTTCGACAATTAGGTCAGTAACTCGTCGGGCGGCTTCTTGTCCGTTGAGGCTGTAGGCCTGTTCGCGGCGTCGTATCAACATCGTTATGATGTTGTCACTGAGCCTCCTCACTCGGTTGACTCTTTCCCAGAGTGCCATTCTGTCTCTGGCTCGGTCATACGCCTGGCGGGTGGCGGGGCTAGGTTGTTGCCCTTCCGGTCCGGCTCCCTCGGTTAGGTTGAAGGCCGCTATCTGTTGGTCCACATAGGCCACCGCGCCTTCCAGGAGCCATCTGTCACGGACGTCCGCTGGAATTCTGTCGTGGCTGAGACGCTCAATTTCACCGAGCTTCAATTGGATCTCGATGTTGAGTTTCTCGGTTTCCGCCCATTGTTCCGAGTTAAAGGGTATCGGTCTCGGCGCCGGCGTAGTTCCGTTAGGAGTACGAGTCCTTGTTGCCGAGTTCTGCGGATAGCCACAAACGCGTCTGACTTGGCTACGTCACGCGGGGTCGGTGATACCGGGTTTTGGTTGTCATCGATGACCCTACGCAGGTTCCGGAACGCTTGCCGGGACTGCTGGATTTGCTGCGGGGTGAAGTTAGTAACTTCAGTTGACCGTCGGAGCATGTAGGAGTCATGGATGATACGGTTGATGGTCAATTCCTGATCCAAGTATCGAGGGTCGGTCGGTGAAGTTTCTTGATGCTCGCGGTTAAGTCGCACCGCTAAGTCATCCGACTCCCTCAAAGTCGCATAAACTTGTAGCCGGCTTGGGCTCGCTTCTCTGTCATCCGGGGTCCTTGTCGTTCCAGCCGAAGCCCCCGTACTTGTGGTTGCGACGGCTGATCCCCGTTCTGACCCTTGGCTCGTCAATCCGGGCACATCCACTGTTCTAGGGGGTGCCAGAGGGTGTTCGTCTCGAGCCTCTTCGATCTGGGCCTTCAGAAGCCAATAATGGGTGTGGATCAATTGCAGTTGTTGTCCTGTTAGAGGGGTTCGCGACAGCAGTTTCCGGAGTATTTCTACTCCAAGGTTCAAGGAGCTGACCCACGTGCGTTCGGATGCCGGATTTTCCAGTCCTTCGGCTTGTATCTGGCCTCTCATCCCTTTCACGAGAGCTTCGGTCTGTCCGAGCAATGCGTGTACTTCGGCTATTGAAGGGTCAGGAGGAGGGTTGGTCGCTCCGGCCGAAGCCCCCGTAGTTGCGGTTGCTAAGGCTGGCCCTCTCTCCGAGGCTGGAGTCTCGGAGGTTGACTTCCGGGCTCTAAGTATGGCTCGGGTATCCTGGATATATTGTTCCAGCTCCTTCATCTCCGAGTTCAGTCGGGTCAATTCTTGCGCGAAGTTAGGGTCGCTCAACTTGAGAGCTTCTATCTTGCGCTGGACGAGAGTCCATTCACTCTCAGCTTCCATAAGACCCAGTGTGAGTTCTTCCGAGGGTCGATCCGGCCGAAGATGCGGCCGAGATCGGTTCAACCGTAATTGCGGTTGCCGAAGGTCTGGCTGTGGAAGGTCCGGGTATCGAGGGTTCGGCTGTCGGTTGAGCCGGGGCTGCCTCCGCCGATGATATCGGAATCTTCGGTCTTTTCAGCATATGGACCGAAAAGGCCTTCGTTCCGTCTTCGTAATATCGAGTGAACGAAGATGGTGTCCGTTGACGTTCCGGCCGAGCTGTCGCTGATACCACCGGAGGCATATTTGTGCCGTCCTGTCGTGGCGCCGCCGGTAAAGTCGGCTGCTGCGAGGCTCCCATGGGTCCGGTTACTATGGGGTATCCCATCAGAGGGTTGACCGCGCCGCCTTGTGGCTGGTTCATACCCATCTGGTTGCACCATTGGGTGAACATGGCGAACATTTGGTTCGGCATGGGGTTCATCCCGGCTTGAGTCATCAGCGGCCCTATTGGGGCCGGCTGGATGCTCGTTACCGTAATCGGGATGTATGGTAGCGTCGGTGGCATGACTGGTCCGGGGATGAATGGTCCCGGTAGAAGTGGCGGGCGGATCTGACCTAATGGGTCGATCGGTACTGCCGGTACGTTCTGACCGGTGGCCGCGCTCACATTCACCAAAAGTCCGGTTTCGTCGAGCATAGTGCCCGGTGGCAAGGTCTGGAGGGGGCATCGTCCGGGGTTGAGTGACCATCCGTGACCCGACCGTTAAACCTGCCAAAGAATCAGCCGCTACGTTCGCATGCGGATTTGTTACCTGTGGGATTGGGGTTTGGGTGGCCGAACGCGTTTCAGCTCGAGCCCGATCGGTCGTGCGGGTACGGCTGAGATCGTCGGTTGTCGCGTCGGCTGCTGTTCGATCCACTCGACGGAGGGTCTCGTCGTCGGTCAGACATCGTTATGAGAGGCTATTGGGATAAAGGAGATACGGCTCGTTAGCATTCTGATAAGGCCAAATAAGTTCAACTGAAGATTCCATGCACAACTGAAGAGGTCCCATTCCGACACCAAAGGTCCATTCTTAACTATGTCCTAGCTAAGCCCTAACTTATTCTAAGTTAACTATGGCCCTATGTTTGTGGTGTGGTGGGTTTTGATGTTTTGGGCTTCTTTGTGGGTTTGGTCGATTTGACCGGTTCTGCCCGTCCTTCAGCGATCCTGTCGAGGATGTCCTTGTGTGCCTCGTCTTCGGCCACTTGAGCTTCTTCAAGTACTTCCTGAGCCGTTAACTTAGGCTTCTTAACCGTCCCGTACTTCCGCTTTGGAGCCGAGGGTTCAACTGTCTTATCGGTTGGGATTGTCGGGACCGGTGTGTCGGGTCGCTTCTTCACCGGTTTCGTCGCTTTTACCGGCTTCTCCTTCGGTACCTTAAGCTTCTCAGGCTTGGTTAAGGTAGCCTCGGGTTTTGCGGCTAAGTCCACTGACTTCTTCGGGTTAGCCTCGGATGATCCGGCTAAGTCCTTGGGTTTCTCCGGGATGGCCTCGGGTTCATCCTCTATCACAGCCTGCTTCTGCAGTTCCTGCAGGGCTGGTGTCTCGAAGTCCGACGGAGGCTTCTTCCTCGGTCGGCCACGTTTTCCTTTTGGTTTGGAGGGTTCCACTGGACTTAGTTTGTCGGACGGACCCTTATTGGGGTCCTGAACCGACGTTAAGTCCGGTTTCTGAGGCTCCTTTGTCGGTTCCTTTGGCTTCTTTTCGGTTGAGTTAGCCTTTCGGGCCCGGGTATTGCGAGCGGGCTGACCCTCATGGGGGTACGGCACCGTTGCAAGGTTATTACCCGGGGATACCTCGGATTTCTTCTGGCCGTAAGATCGGGTGATCCGCCGACGCTTGTTGCTTGGATGATGCTTACATCTATCCACGGCGACAACATCTTCCTTTCCGGTTTCGACGTTGCGGAGCCAAAGGTTGTTGGGTCCTTTATAGTTGAGTACCGTCCATACTCCATCGTACCGTTCCTTCCTGGTAGGATCCTTATTGGGATACTCTACCAGGACGAGGTCTCTCTTCTGGAAGTCCGGTATGGATTTCTTCTTGTTGTAGAGTTCGGCTGCTTTCTGGAAGGCTTCGTCGATATTTGTCTTCGCGATGTCGTGAGCCCTCCGGAGCCGTTCCTTCATCCTTCTGATGTATTGTTCCTTGTCGGTGTAGTGTTCCGGTGCGTTGGTTCCGGTGATGACGTCCTGAGGTATGGTCATCTCACGTCCGTACAGCATGTAGTAGGGTGAGAACCCGGTGGTCGCATGTTTGGCTCGGTTGATTCCGCATACTACGTACTGTAGGTTCCGGTGCCATCGGTGACCATCCTTGGCGTCGCATTCCTTCCGAATTCCGTCCCAGATCGTCTGCATGGAACGTTCGACTTGGCCTTGACCCTCTGGGTGGTAGGCTGTTCCGAAGGTATGCTCGATCCCGAAGATCCTGGCCACTTTGGCGAAGGTCTTAGCCGTGAAGTGGGATCCTTGGTCGGTGTGGAGGTGGGTCGGCATGCCGTATTTCAAGACGACATCCTCCACGAAGAATTTTTCGAACTCCTTTGCCGAGTTAGTCTTGGTCGCTCGGGCTATGGTGAACTTGGTGAACTGGTCGGTAACGACCGCGATATATTGGTATCCTTTCGACTCAGTCCGAGGTAAAGGTCCTTTAAAGTCCGCGTAGATTCGGAACCATGGTTCACCGACCTCCATCTTCTGGAGTTTACCGGGTGGTTTAGTCCGAGGCTTGGTCACCAAGGTACACCGGGGGCAGTTATCCACGTAGTCGTGAATGTCGGATAGCATCCGGTCCCAGTAGTACCGAAGCTTCGCTGCCTCCAGTGTCTTCACGCGGCCGAAGTGGTTGCCGGTTTTTCCGTCGTGAAGTGCTCGGATGATGCCTTTTCGCATGAAGAGCGGGACCACGAACCGTCGTTCCAACTTGGTGTTGTGGGTGGTCAGCCGGTACAATAGGCCTCCGCTCATTTGGTAATGTTCCAACAATGGCGACTTGTGGTCCAGCTGGTCCTGGTTTTCCAGCTCATCGATCTTTTTCCGGAGGTGAGGGTCCCGGAGTTGCAGTCTGCCTAACTCCTTATTGGACTCCATCGGCTTTTCTTCTTCTTCGTCCTCGGGTTCGCCTTGTGAGCCCGGGACCTCCGGTCCGTTAACCTCGGTAGTCCGTACCTTTGCGGTTTCGACCCTAGACTCGCCTTGTGAGCCCGGGTCGTCCGGTACGACTACGTTGATTACCCTTACATATGGGGTAGACAGGTCGTTCCAGTCCGAGATGACCTTACATCCGGGCAGCGGAGTTGCTTTTGGAACGGGGCGACGCATATTTGTGGTCTGCCTCCATTCAGCTGCCACTCGGAGAGACCTTATTTTAGCCTCGTCCGTCCAGCCTCCGGGCTCGAGTATGAGGTCCGGATGTCTTCGGCTCTTTTCCTTGATTTCGTGTCTTTGTACCCGGAGAGACCTTATTTTGATCTCATCCTTGAAGTCCTCAAAATTAGGTACCTGGTCCAATTCTTCATGGGGGTCGTTATCGTTCAAGGGGCCACCGAGACAGAGCATCCGCATTATCGCAGAAAACTCCAGGTTTGTACTCGATGGTAATGTCCTTGCCTTGCAGAGCCAAAGCCCACCGTGTTAACCGGGGGTTGATGCCGGGTCTATTGGACTCACAGCGCATCAGGTTCTGTAAGGCTCGGTGATCCGTTTTGACGGTGAAGGTTCCGTGGTCAATGAAGTGTTTGAACTTCTGGACGGCCCAAACTACGGCTAGGCATTCCCATTCGGTGACTCCGTAGTTCTTCTCGGCTCCATGGAGAACTCGGCTGGCAAATGCTACGGGGTGGTCTTCTTGTGACAACACCGCGCCAAGTCCGGCTCCACTGGCATCACATTCGATTACTGTCTTCTTGGTCGGGTCGAACTTTGCGAGTACCGGGGCTGTGGTTAGAGCCTCTTTGATGCCGTTGAACTCCGCTGTATGGTCGTCCGTCCAGTCTGTCCGGATGGAATTAGTCTTCCGAAGGAGTTCGTACATCTTCGATGTCCGTTGGGCATAATTACGGATGAATTTCCGGTAGTAGTTGGCCAACCCGAGGAACGACCGCAATTGGCGTTCTGTTCGCGGGGGTTGGTGTTGCGCAATAGCCGCTACCTTTTCGTCGTCGGTTTGGACTCCGGCTTTGCTGAGGACATGTCCGAGGAAGGGTAACTTATCCGTTCCAACCTCGCACTTCGAGGGTTTGATGGTGAACCCGGCCTCAAGTAGGCAGTCCAGGGTGGCTCGGAAGGCTTCCTTGAATTCTTCAAAGGTCCGGCCGAAGAAGATGATGTCATCGATGTACGCAAAACACCTTTCTTGCGGGCTTTTGCAGTTATCTTATCGACATGCATCTGGAAGGTTGCGGGTCCGTTACAGACTCCGAACGGCATCCGGTTAAACCTGTACATGCCTTCTGGCGTAACGAAGGTGAGATTTATTAGCGCAAGCCAGTTTCACTCACACAGAATATAAAGAAAACAGAAATAATTACAGTAAAAATATTTCCTTAAATTTCTCGGCTCCATCCATGGTTCCGAGTACGGAAGCAGCGTTGCCTCTTTGGATTTCAATCGACAAACGCTGACGGAGAAATTCGAGTGAGCGAAGCTCGCCAGTATGCTGCTGTAATCGTTTGCCAATTTCCTTCACTAAAAGTGATGCCGACTTTCCCCAGGGACCAAAAGTCTCGAATGCAAGAGGCGCAAAGATGTATCGGCCCTCCAGATAAGCATACAACTTGGCTTTTTTATCTTCCGCCTGCGCTGCTGCGGATCCGGCGGCAGCCGAAGTAGACTTTATATGGGACAAGGCGACAGTATCCACGCAGGTCACGTCCCATGCCAAGCACATGCCACGTTTCCAGGCAAACGTAGTGCATCCGTCTGGGCGGCGACCGGACGTATGGGACGTACCACGCGGTTCCAGTTTTGCTGGGACGCCCGCTGAAACCAACGATCGGCACACAATGCTGTTAAGTCCACCGTGTCTAGGATGACGTCTAGCGGAAAATGAGCATGACAGTCCGTGGTGGCCATATACATCTACGGGCTTGTGACATTTCGCGCATAGATGTGCTTCGCAAATGATAGCGCCTAACCTGAGCCCAACTGATATCTTCAGGGTGTCGTCGTCCAGGAGGTTGCCGATGTGAGCTGAAGGCAAAGCATTCAACCAAATGCCAGCTTCCGGTTTTGATTGTGCGAGGAGTCTGGCCCTGTTTATTTCATCTTCATGAAAGATCTCAAGCAATGTGGACAGCGATGCATTACATAACGGTAAATCCCACGTGCGTTGTGAATTCCTGAAAGAGGCCTCCGGGAGTTCCGTCTGCCGGGATTTAGCTTTCCACGACTGCCGTGCGCTTTCAGCGTCCACTGCCGGGTGATGAGGAAGCAGTTGCGGCATTAGTTCGGATACGGAATGAATCGAAGCCAAATAGGCTGGGAGGGATAATTCTTCCGCCCGACGGATGCCGATACCGCCTCTACTCACTGGTAATGACGCTTGCCGCCAACACGGGTAATCGTTTTGGTTTGTTCGCACATTGCATAATATCTGAAAACACTCCCGCATCGCTTCGTCCAACTGATAAAGCTGTTGTGGCTGCTTCCAAGCGTTGCAACATCGCAGCATGTACATTATTTTTGGGGCACCGAGGCAGTTCTTTAAGAGGAATAATGCCTGGTGCCGGGGGAGGAGCTCCAGTCTCGCGCAAGCCATTTTCAACGTGGTAGCCTTCTCGGCGATAGCTGGGCCGATAGCGTCGTCCAGAACGGGAGCGCCTAGCAATGAAAATGTCGCACTGGTTAAGATTCGCAGACTGGGGTACTTTTCTCGAAAACTGTCCACGACTTCCTGCTGAGCTTCCTCTGATCCACCGCAGACGTAAAGCTCGCATTTCGCTTCGTTAACAATCAGACCGATAGCCCGTGCACGTTCGGTGATCTGATCAAACGCATGGGCCACTGCCGCAGGCTTACCGCCCAAGGTACCGTCATCTAAGAACCACGCATTCAGGTCCGCTATCAGATCCGCTATAACCGGTTGTAGCGCTAGACAAAACAATAGCGGTCCCAAAGGATCACCCTGCTGAACCCCGGATTCAGACGACAGCAGGAACTGCTCCAGAAAAAGCCACGAGTGGTTTCCGTAAGCTAACTGGAGAAATTTGCCATATTCAGGGAGGTGCAATTTACCGGCGTTTAACACAGCTTCCCGTGACACGGTATTAAAAGCATTTCTGAAATCAATTTTCAGTATTGCCGTGGGCGTCGCTGTTGAGGACTCCGCAAAAAGTCTGGTGGCGTGCACAATGGCTTCAGCCCCGCCGCGAACGTTGAAGCCGAGTTGCTGAGGCGACAGGACAGCTGTTACACGGTCGGCCACTCTGGAGCAGATAATTTTTGCTATCAGTCTCCGTAGCGTCAGACCAACCGCTATCGGGCGCAGGCCACCATCTTTCTTGCGTAAAGCAAGCAGCTTTCCACCAAATAACACAGGGCGAACATCGTCTGGTAGAGTTCCGTCGACCAACAGATTCAGTACGGCTGCGAGCGATTCACACAAAGGTTTAGAATGATCGTCCAGTTTGTGACCCACCATGTCGAGCAAATGCTGAGGACGCAAAGAGTCTGGTCCGGCTGCTGATCCCCCCGGAAAAGCATGTATGGCAGAGAAAACTTCGGCTGCGGTTACAGGTGGCGCTGCGTTCGTTGGCGGGTCGAGCTGAGCCGTAGTTGGTGGGGGCGGACTTTCGGGGTGTTTTTCTCTCAACTCCTGTAGAACGATGGGAGAAGGGGAAGCGATGGCGTCGGTGGATAGGATGAGGCGCATGGCTCCGGAAATGCAGCCGTCATCGATCTTTTGGCCAACCCGACGGGCCAGATCTTCGTCGACAGAGCGTTTCTTCGTGGTACTTGGGGGTGGTGTGGGAGGGGGTTCTTCATCCCGATCATAAGACCCTACATTCCTCTTCACAACGGAAGCAAGTGACTCGTTTCGTTCGGGTTTGGCCTTTGGTGGAACGCGTAACGTTGTTGAGGCGAAGGCGAACAACTTCAGCCACGAGGTTTTGTCGTTTTTACTGGCGACCCGCTGGAGAGCTGCCTGGAGAGAGGCTCTGGCGGCCGGCCGGGCGCCGTGTGGGATACGACGCATGACACGCTCCTTCGAGGGCTGAAACGGAGCTTCTGTCGTAGGTGGCGTAGGCGCAGCTCCGGCGGCATTGGTCGCTGCCGCACTTTGAACTGGAAGGGTAGATGCGCGCCGCTGGCATGCTTCTTTGTGCTTGGTGATCCCGATACCTTTTGAAAAACGATTCTGGCAGAACGGGCACTGCTGATCGCGTGGCTTTGTTTTCACCATATCTGGGATCCAAATGAAGAGCGACTAACCTGTTGGGATAAGGGGGACGCGGGATGCTAGGAGGATCAGGTCCGCCGGACCCGTAAGGTAGTGGGATCCCGTTACGAGGCGATCCGCACCACGGTTAGATCCTCCCTGCCACCCTTACAACCAAGAGGGAACAATCCCCGATTTGGTGCACAGGGAAATTATGCGCTTGAGATGAGCATGGTTCCGTATGGTACATCAAAAATCCACATCCAAAGGAACACTCCAATGTATTACAGACTCCTCTCTGTGATTGCTACCGAAGGACAACGAAGGTTGTCATGTCCTTCGAGGCTTCGTCCATTGGGATCTGCCAAAAACCGGATTGGCAATCTACCTTGCCGTAATATTCCATCCCGGCGCACTTGTCCAGTAGTTCATCCGGGTTCGGAAGGGGGTAGTTGTTCTTTTTGGTTACTGCATTCAACTTAATGTAGTTGATGCAGAACCTGGTTCCGACGGAGCCGTCCGGGTTTTTCTTGGCTGCCAAGACCACGGGGAAGCTCCATGCTGCGTCGGAGGGTTCGATCACTCCTTGGTCCAGCATCTCTTGGACATGTTTGGAGATGAATTCACGACCCTTCCAACTGGTTCTAGTTGGGTTCATCTTTAAAGGCTTTGCACCTTGGACGTCGATGACGTGAGTGACTCCCTTGACGTCACCGTAGGGTCGTTTTGAGGTTGGAAAACAAGCCGATACTCCCATGCGATGTCCCGTAGAACTTGTCGCTGCTCATCGGTTAAGTTGTCACCGAGCTTCATGGAGTTAATGGCTTTCTTTTGTTCTTCGACGGTTGCCGGGTCTTCGTCACCTTCTTGGGTAAGTCGGACCCGGGCCTTTTGGTCGTCCGTCATATGTTCGTACGGCTCGACTCGACCCATTGGGGTTCCT